GCACAAACTGCTGACCAAGATCTTGTGTAACCCACCCACCACGCAGCTAAACTTCATTCCTTGCAGGCTGGTTCTAAACTGTGCCTGGATACCCTGAGGGCAGGAGCAGAGCCGGGCCAGCACTTTATTATATATTATTTTAGACAGAGTCTCAAGTGGCTTGGACTGGTCTCCAAAAACCTATACATTGATGGTAATCCCAGCACTTTGGAGGCAGAGGCAGAAGGATCAGCACAATTTTAAGTTCAGCCTGGTCTAAATAGCCAGTTCTAAGCCAGCCAGGGCTATCTATCAAAAGACCTGTCTCTAAAACAGGCAAAAACCTGTATGTAGCCAGGCTGGCCTTGTCATCTTTCTCTATGTCCCATGTACTAGCACTGCAGGTAGACATGCCCCACTATGCCTAACATGTGTGATGTGTGTGTATGTGTGTGGCAGGGGTGGCAGTGGGAGCTGTATGAGGCTGTGTACAGGTGAGGAAACCAGAGGAGGCATTAGGGTCTTTTATCACCCTCCACCTTATTCCTTTGAGACAGAGACTCTCCCTGAACTTGGAATGTGATTTTTTGGGCTAAGCTGGCAGCCCACAAGTCCCGGGGATCTCTTGTCTCTGCCCCTGCCCCCCAACAGTGCTGGGATTACAGGCAATCACACAGCCAGGCCCAGCTTGTTTTGTCTGTGCTAGAATCAGGCCCTCAAGGTGGCGCAACAAGTTCTCTTAACCACTGGGACAAATCTCCAGCCTCCTCCCCCTCCTTTCATTGCACAAGTGCTCACTAAGCTGCCCACTCTGGCCCTTAAGTGTCCATCTTCCAGAGTTCTAGAATTCAAGGTGCACACAACCATGCCTGGGGATTGCTCTTTTTCTGTCTCCCCAAAGGACAGTTTTCTGGGGATATATTCTTTATGCTGAAGTCTTCATAACTGCCACGTCTAACCTTCCTTTTCCCCCCCAGTTTCCAAGGAGTACAGTTGTTGCCCCCCAGCTGTGTTCTCAGGTGTGCTCTGAGCACCAACGTGCAATGAGGCCAACAGCTGCTGCAGGTTTTCCCCGAGTGCCTCGGCTTCCTCTTTCTTCATCTGCCATGTATGACCCTTGGCTTCATTGTCCCTGACCTGGACTGCTATAATTAGCTCAGCTGGCTTTGCTGCCCCAGTCTCTCCCTGTACAAATTGATTCGGTTTAAGATAGATTTTCCAAACCAAATCTGCTAGTGTCACTGTTGTGTCTGAAACTCTTCCACAGTGCCTCATTACCTCCTAAGAAGAGATAGGATTTTTTTTTTTTTTTTTTTTGTGCATTGCTCCAACCTCCCTGCCCTCCATGCTACTATAGGGTTTTGGGACCAGCCACCCTCCATCACTTCCTGATTCTAGTGCCAATCTAGTGTTCCTGATCCTCCCAGCCCTACCTCACATGATGTGCTCCCCCTGGCCCCCATGAGGCCCTGATTGCAGATTTTTTGGTCTCCTTCTTATTGGTCACTACTTTGCTTGTTTTTCAGGTCCTTCCTCATCTATTTGAACTCCAAACACTGGACAGGAAAGGGTTCCATCTCTGAATGTGTTTTCACTCCTGCCACGGACCGGCCCAGTTGGGCTCCCGGCATCCACAGGAGAACAAGGCTTTGGACAGGAAGACAGGGTTTTGGCGATGAATTGACAGACAGAGACACCTTGATGGTTTTGACTCTGCTGCGACTTTACTGAAATCAAGCTAGTATTTTTATATTGATCTCACAAGGAAGCACCTTAAAATTGGCATGCTTTCCAGAACATTTAGACTTTTACCAAGGATACAAAGGTTTTTTTTTTTACATTTTTTATTTAACTTTTATTAATTACACTTTATTCATTTAGTATCCCCCATAAGCCCCTCCCTTCCTCCCCCCCTCC